TCTTTAGCCAATATTTAATATGGTTATAAATAGTAAATACCATTTACTATAGCTAAGGGGAGTTACTAGAGGTAAGATAATTGGCCTCAGGATCTTATTTTATTACTTTTTACTAAAACTTTGTTCAATTTATCTCACACACTTACGTGGCTTAACTGATTTTTGTTATCTATCTTTTTTTTTGAGACAGAGTCTTGCTTTGTTGCCTATGCTGGAGTGCTGTGGCATCAGCCTAGCCCATAGCATCCTCAAATTCCTGGGCTCAAGCAATCCTCCTGCTGCAGCCTCCTAAGTAGGCCTGTTGTCTTTCTTACAATTATACAGTATAATCTCTCCAACCTAGATCCTGATTAGGGGATGGGCCAGCCAAGCAGCCAGCTGAAACGCAACCTATCAGGGGTTTCCAGCCCGATAATAACAAATAGAAAGCAATGTGATTGTTAACTCAGGTCAACCTTCTCTAAAGAAGGCTCACCTAGGTTTGTTAGTAAACAACAACAGTTCTTAATCAGCATGAAACTATTTTTGTTTGAGTACTTTTGTATTTTAAAATTCTGAAACTGAATAAGTAAGGTCTGGCAAACTGCTGCTTACCAGGATTAAATTTATTATCTAGAAATAAAATCCCTTGATATGCCTTCTGAGAAGTCCAATGATTGGCAAAAGAAAGCCAAACACAAACTATAGACAAGCAGACAATATTCGCTGTATTTTAAAATCCAGACCTGTTAAATAAAAACTCCTGGATTTGTGCACATTTTGAATTAATAGAATATTGTTTTCTACTGACATTACTAAATATAAGTGAAAAATATTTAAAGAATATGTTTGAGGAGATTGTCCCATTACCTGTTAGGACACCATGTGTTTCTAACCCTGCTCACACCTGGGCCCGTCTTACAGAGATCATTTGAGAATAAAATGGTCTAGCTGTCTCAGTTAAAGTGTGAACTGGAATTAAGAACTTTATTTTACAACTCTGGGCAGAAGCCATCTAAAAGATACATAAAATCTTTCTGGTAAGATATCATTAGAAATTAATATTTTGAGATCTCCATTGGAGCTGGAGAAGATTTTTATGATATTGGATAGAAAATAGCAAACACGGTGGTGGAAAACCTTATTGTCTAGCTTGGGCACATCAAATAACATAGTCCCCAATAAACGCTATATGACAGGCCATCTTCTCAGGAAAGCTCTGTTGATTTTTATTGGAGTTATGTAAAACTTGGTATTTTATATTCTAGATGACCAGGAAGATCTATATTTAACATATGAGGAGGATGACTCTTTAAATGATGTTTATGGGTTATTTTTTTTTCTTCATAGAAACTTTATAAAGTTTTATACATGCACTACTGTATTCTAATTCTGCAAAGTCATACCAGTAAGGTGCAGCTTTCTAGAGACAGATTCATACTACTACCGGCTTTTTGGGGTTTTCTTCCTCAATGTTGACATTGGTCTGAATTGCAAGCTCTTCGAGTTCTTGCTTCGCTTCGAGTTCTTCCTCAGACTCTTCGTCTAATTCAGGTCCAATTCTCTTTTCAGTTTTGAGCATTAATTTCTCCTGAAGAGCTTCTTCAAACTGAATGTGAAAGATCTCCAGCTTCTCTGCTAACTGTCTTCCACATATAGTTTTGCCAGAGCCGTGAGGGCCAAGAAGGCATATTCTCAATGGAGGAGCCTGCCACAGGGATAGGAAGGGAGGGCCGGGACAGAGGCAGAGAGAAGAAAAGGAACTTTTGAGGAATTTGAAAAACATAAGGCTTAATAATTGCTCTCCCTAGGACTAGGTAGGAACTATTATCGCATGAACTCAAAGATGTTTAGACATTAGATTTCCATTAACATAATTCATTGCATCAACAGTGGTCCTAACCAGGGATCATCACTAACCGTGGAATATTTTTACATCCTATGCCAAAAGGCATTTAATACAATTCAATTTAATTACCTTTGTTTTTTAAAAAAGTTTTAGTTAATAAAGACTGGAAAGACACTTTCTTAGCATGATAAAAAAGCTCTCCACCAAACAAAAAGCCCGCCTGTTACTAATAAAACTCTGTAGAGTCTTCTCCATTTATTTCCATAATCTCTAGACCAGAGATGAGAAGCCTGAAGCCAGAGAACCTACAGGTGTGTGGCTCAACCCTTGGATGCTGAAATTGTCAAGGTCCATGGTGAGAGCTGAGATGAAGCAGGAGCTAAGTCTTCTGTGAATGAGAGGAAATACTGTGAAATTGGTAAGTGACAGTAACCAGGAGGGAGGGTTGGGGATACATCAGGGCAGTATAAACCTCAAAGAGGCCAGAGATGTTGCAAGAGAAAGGGAAAAGAGTAGAATTGTATGCAATTATGTAGCCGCAGTCTCACATATGTTTGGATCACATTTTAGCTCCCTCAGCAATAAAACTGCTCATCTACATGGCTTGGCGCTGGTGGCACAGTGGTTA